TCAGAAGGTGCGGTAATACTTGGGACAGAGTCATATTGATTCTGGTGAATTGTCGGACTGGCCTTTCCACCCTTGGTTGACTACTTCTTGGTTGATCAGATGTAGGTTTGGGATCATAACAGCCCCTACCATAGGTCGGCGTTCGGCTCTCCCTTGGTTCCTTTGTGGATATACAGAAGCTACTTCTTTCATCCCAATAAAAGGCTTCCTTACAGCTGTAGAGGCAGAAGAATCCTTCTGAATCTTTCCACTTTTTATGTCAGCTTCCACCCTTTCTCCGATCAGTATTAACTCAGTAAATCCTACAGATGAGCTTCCGATTAAATGGTTGAAGAAAGGGCCCGATAGAGTGCCTAAGAACATGTCCACCAATTCCCTTTCAGACAGAGGGGGGTGAACTCTTCCTGCTAGATCTCTCCATTTCTGCGCGTAATCCTTGAAACCCTCATTGGAAGCCATAGCCATACTCTGAAGTTGAGTACGGGTATGCGCCAAATCAGCATTATATTGATATTGCTTGTAGAAAGCTGCGACAAGATCTTCCCAATTGTGGACGTTGGCCCTCTCCAGTTGGTAAAACCAATCGAGTTGTGTTCTAGATAGACTATCCTAGAAAAAATGCACCCACAAGTCTTTATCAGCAGAGTGTGGCTGGATCTTTCTCACATATGATCTGGAGGTGCATCTTAGGGCATGACACTCCATCATATTTTGCGAACAAAGGCACTTTGAATTTCGGAGGAATCACAATCCCTGACACTAGTCCCAATTCTTCAAAGTCTAGACTTGGCACCTTTTGTATTTCCATAGCGCTCAAATGCTCTTCAAGATGTTTGTACTTATCATCAGTTGGAGGATACTGTTCCTCAGAGTAGTCTTCCTCTTCTTCTTCCTCTTCAGATTCTGACGGTACCGATGTTTCCTTTCCTTTCCCCTCTCCTTCACCGAATGTTGTTGCAAAATTCAAGGTTCTTCTAGTCTGCCCTTGAAACCTTCTCCCCATGTTTAAAACCACGGTGACCTTCTTTGTTTTCTTTTTCCTTTCTTCAGCCAGCTGAGTCTTCAACTCTTCTTGCCCCTTGGCTAGGGTCATGAGAAACTATTAAAATTGTGTGTTCTGAGCTTGGAGGTCTTTGACTGTCTGTTCGAGATCCATCTTACTGAAATAAACAGTAGAGAGATGAGGAAACTCGTTGCAAAAGACCTGTTTATGCTATGATGAATGATATGTGCATATGCAATGTTTTCAAGGATTTTAAAGTTTCAAGTTCGTTTTAGACAAAAAGGAAACACACGTTATATTAATAAGAAAAGGTTTGAGTACATCAATGCCCCTTGGGAAAAATAGTACAAAAATCTAAGATAAAAAAGTAGTGTGTATCCTCTTTGGTGCTATGTAGGCATTTAGAGTATGCTCCTCATGAAGTAGCCTAGTGAGTTCCAAAACCTTCTTCTCGCTTGCGTAGAATTGGGCTTCAAAAGTATCTCGCTCTCCTTTGATCTGTATCCAATCTCTTTGTAGGTCTTCAAGAGATGTGGGCATGTCAGGATGTAGGATAGTGTATGGAACATCTTCCTCCTTAACAGGCTCAATAATTACCGGAAAAATGGAAGGATAAGGCATCATAAGACTTTGAGAGCGGGTTCGTACCCATTTGAGGTAAGCCTCAAAAGGGATGGAATTCTTGTGCCCCAAAGTCTTGCTATCCACATTGTTTAGCATCCTCCAAGCTCGGATAAATCTATGGCGAAGATCTTGATCGTCGTTGTCGTAGTCGAATACCAAACCTTGAACCATTATCTTGTGCGGGCCATCCCTTCGGGCGTAACCAAACTGTCTTAGAGCTAAACATGGATTATAAGTGATGCCTCCCCTAATTCCAAGTAGAGGGACATTAGGGAATTCCCCATAACGGTCAACAATGATAACATTCTCTTTAGATCGGGAGCACCAATGAATATCTAAATGTTTGAGCGTCATTAACCTTTGTGACCACCTTGAACCTTGCTCATTCTTTAAGACTGATTGGGGAAGATGAGAAATAAACCATCTTGCCAGGAGAGGAGTGCAACACATAAGGACACCTCTTTTCCTCATTGTGCGAGTGTGAAAAGAGTGTAGGATATCCCCTAGCAATATAGGCACCGGATTGCGTGACATGAAGATTTTACGGCGCTCACATCTATGAATTGGTCAGGATTGGGAAATAAGACCATCCCATAGATAAGAAGAGCCACAATTTCCTCAAAGGCTTGCAAGTCTAAGGAATTCCAACAACTTTGGGCTTTCTCAAACAGGAACTTTGCTAAGAAGCCTTTGACACCACTTCTAGTTTCCCAATGAGTTATGACATCAGATGAGTGCAAGTGCAGAGCTTGAGAAATCTTTTATGGCTTTGGATCTCTTTCTGTACCATTGAAAGGTATTTGATTGAGAATGGGAATCCTCAAGAGTTGAGAGAATTCTTCCAAAGTAGGCACAAGCTGATAGTCGGGAAATGTGAAGCAATGGTGCAAAGAATCAAAGAACTGGAAGAGCACCTTCATCATATCCTCATATGTGTTGGAGGTGACCAAGTTGAGTAGACGACCATGTCTCTCGGTGAATGGAGAGTTCTCAGGGATCCTTGAAGCTAGCTCCTTAATTTGTGGAGGAATTCTTACAAGGTTGACTTGGATAGTTTTCCTGCGAAGCAAATCCATATCTTACAAAACAAGAACAAAGATGAATCTCCAAAATCCTTGAAATGGTTAGTAGATGTATATGATGTTCATGATTTCCATTATGTTATGTACAAGTATGCATATACAAGCAAAACAAACAAGTTCTTAGTTTAGGCTTGCATGGGGTTTTATAGGTAAGTACCCTCTTGAAGTTTAGTTGGCTTAAACCTGTCCTAATAATAGTAACCAGGTTCTAAGGAGCTCAATATCACCGGATTGTTTCCTTGTGTTGCACCCCAAAATTTGCCCTCCTAATTGCACTTTTATGGTTTAGACTTTTTGCATTCGTCCGCATCATTCCAATGGGTCATGGGCATAGCACACATTTTTCATAAAATAGATCGCCTGAGGTTCAAAAGATCGGCAGTTAGGGATCTAGGGTTTACAGCCGATTTGAGGTGTATGTGTTGAATAAGTTTGATTGTCCAGGATCTTCTCGGTGTACAAGGTCTTGGAATTAGGGATTTGTTTCAATGTTCAGCTTGAATTTCTTCTCCATCAAGCTATAAGGCTATTATCTTCTGCTGAACAATAGGTTGCAGGGTATTCCTGTCAATAACGTAAGGTTGTGATCTCGCGTACATGATTCAAAACACCTCATTCTATCATTGTGCTTATCATTTGGTCAAGGTTTTGTCAATACTATAGGTGTATTAAGATTTCTCTAAAGGATCAAGATCTGTTATCAATCCAGGATGCATATGATGCTTGCATTACAGGTTGTTGACTATGTCATTGTTGCATTAAGTTCATCTATCCTTAAGTTAATCAATTAGGATTTGGTACGTCATGATTCAAGATATTTTGTATGGTAAATTTGGTTGCTTGACGGTCAAGGCATTACGAATAATTGGTACAAGCTATTGTTTGGATATTTGTGCAAGAACTTTGGTTTCAAACATGGATTAAGGTTCAACTTGATAAAAAAAGAAATAGCGTGCCCGAAGGTTTATTTCATAAATTCTTGCGGAGGAAGATGGCACATGAATATAAGTTGAGATTAAAGTACATGGTATCAAGTAAATCTCTTCATGATTCAAGTTGTTATTTTCAAGATTATCCCACATCATTGTTCATCCCAAGGTAAAATATAAAAAGATTCATTTAAATAACATTCGAGTGTTTATCATGTTTGTCTCAAGTTCATTCAAGTATCCATTCAAGCTCAAACTGAATGAGAGAAATGTTTTGAATAATTGGAAATTTGTCATGCAAGAAGTTATAAAGTTTTGTTCACTACAAATTCAAGTCATTACACCGAAGTTACAAAAGACATCTCAGTCATCAAAGTTTCAAATTCCAAGTACAAATCATCATCATTTTTTACAAATATCCGTCATCATTCAAGGTTAAAAGTCAAGGGTCTCCATTCATGCGAGTTTGAGGTGCGAGGTGTTTAGAATTGGAAGTTCAAATATCGAAATTTGAGTTTTAAGATCCAAAGCATGGTTTGCAAGTTTGTTTGAACCAAAGATCTTATAGGAATATGGCATACAAGGGAAATTTTGATTCAAGTTCTTGTGAAACACATAAGACACTCATCATGGAGTACCATGGATTAAATTTGAGGTCGGATGGGTAGAATTCCTTAATTTGACTAAAAAAGTGATCAAGGCCTCCATTTACCAAAATCTAAGAAACTTAAAGAATGTTTAGAAATGGCATAATTCAAGAGGATTCATCTTGCAAAAAGCTCATAAATAATAGACATGGAATTTTGAATTGTAGCAAGTTTCAGCATATTCAAGTTCTACCAGTTACATCTCATTCAAGCCTCTACTTTGACTACATAATTCTCAAAATATACAAAAGGCTACAAATTTACAAAAGAAATCAAATTTCTATTACAAGTCAGAACTATTCCCATCCATGGTCATTCAAATTATTCAAATTACTCAAGTTCAATCATTTGAGCGTCTTTCATTCACTCATGTTACAGTACATGCCATTTCAAGATTACAAAACAAAGTTACAAAGGTCCAAATAAACGTTTACAAAAAAAAAGAGGAAAACACTGATTCTCGTGATCTTCAACCTCGAACCGAATCCAGAGAACCATCCTTCATTTCTTGGTTGAAATCGTAACACCGTTTGCGATCACAGCCTCAATCAGATTCAGCTTTTGTTCCTCGTCAATTTCCCGTGTTCATGCAGCGCGTCCCAGTAATTCCAACTCACTCACTTTTCTCGTAACGGTTCTCCTATTGTTCATGAAACTAAACTCCCACCAGATGTCACCAAAGTTTCTTCTCTGGCTAGTGCTTGGTGTTTTTTTTATGGCTACAATGCTATGGATGTATGCAACATGTCAACAGCTTCAAGCCCAGGCCCAAGCTCATGCAGCACCAGCCAGTGGTCTTCTTGGCCATACAGAATTACGGTTGCATATGCCTCCATCGATAGCACTTGCAAGCCGAGGGCGTCTGCAGGGTCTCAGACTTCAGCTGGCACTTCTTGATCGGGAGTTTGATGATCTAGATTATGAAACTTTAAGAGCTCTGGATTCGGATAATGTTTCTACTGCACCTTCTATGACTGAAGAAGAGATAAACGCTCTTCCAGTTCACAAACACAATGTTTCTGTTCTCCAAAAAAGTAGTTCTTCAATGCCACAAGCACCGCCATCATCTTCTGCTGAGAAAACACAGGATAATTCAAATGCGGTTGGAAACACAAAAGCCTCGGATGATGAGCTCACCTGCAGTGTATGCTTGGAGCAGGTTAATGTTGGAGATGTACTTCGTATCTTGCCCTGCCTGCATTAGTTTCATGCTAATTACATTGATCCTTGGTTGCGGCAACAAGGAACGTGCCCTGTTTACAAATTTCGAGCAGGATCTGGGTGGAATGACGGTGGGCATGATGATATCACAGACATGGTTTGAATACCTGTCTAATTTTGAGTTTGTGTTCATAATATACTGTAATTGTATCCTAACCACCTAACAACTCTCTAAACAGTCCTGCATAGAAAATAAGAAAACAGTTATGCAGTTATGCAGTTAGCAAGTTAATTGTTTACACCACAAGTTCTTGAATCCAACAACCATAGTTTCATCCAAATAGTCATTCAAGAATTCATTCAAGATTAAAGTCTCTTATGATTACCTTGCAAATATTTTGAATTCATACCATGATTATTTAAATTCATATGAAGGTATTTAAAGGAAATATTTGAGAAAAAGAACTTGGAACTTCAAAATCAGTTTCGAGGAGAAAGGTACATTGAAGAAATTATCATTGAATTCTCAAAATTACATTGCAAGTTTAACTAATTCCATGCTACATTGCAATACAAGATGGCATTCAAAACATTTTCATTACAATTTTACCATCATGTTACAAAAGAAATTATAAAAATCCTACACAATACCAAAGCCTAATCTTCATATGTCTTCCACGAAATCCCACAGTTTGACCTTACCTCTTCACCATAATCTTCACACTGCTTCAACATAAATCCTACTGGCCACTTGGAACTCAACCTGTAAAATTGCATCAAAACAATCCACAATCAGAACCAAAACTAACAAGCCAATGACATAACCTTCAGCTTGCCAACTAACTATTCTTAACAAATTTTCTAACTTCTAACTTTCTCTCTAACAATTAAACTACTAACTGCAAACAGAATTAACAGAATTTTTTAACTGCATCCTAACAAACTCCTAACAAACTCTAACTAACTTCTAACTTCCTAATTAACATCACCCAAGGGATCCTAACAACCTGTAAACAGTACAACTGCCAAACAGAAATCCATAATTCCAAACAAACTTTTCTAACTGCTTTCTAACAGATTTACTAACTTCCTAATTGCTAACCAAATCCACAACCAGCTTCTAACAGAATTTCACAATAAACCTTTAACCAACTTTCTATACAGTCTAACAAACTTCCAGCAGAAAAATTCTAACAGACTATAAAAAGCAGAATTTACCTCTTTCATTATGGATTCTTAAGCATTCTGGAAGAATCACCACAAAAAATCAGCAACGAACCTCTCTACTTTTTTCTCTTCCTTCAACCATCATTTATTCATAATTTTCCGGGGATCTTCACTTTCACATCTTGAATCTTCATCCGCCTGGATCCATTTTTTTCCAACCTCTGCTTCTTCCAGCATCAATCTATCTCAACCTTGATTGCTATCTTCTTCTACATCTTCAGTTATCCTTATTCCTCACATGTGGAAGAATCATGATCAGAAAACAAAAAATAACTCAGAGAGGGAGAGGATATCAGATTTGACTCTCAGATCCACAAATCACTTATTCACCAAGAAAAAAACAAGGAGGATTCATTATCCACAAAAATAAAAAATCTCAAAAGGAAACTCACCAAGAAAAAGCACAAGAAACTTCTCAATTCGTCTTCTTGCAATTTCTGAAACTGCACAATATCACTACTCGGCTTCAATCTTCGATCACCTTTTTCAATTCTGCATCGCCTCTTTCAAACCTCCACCTTTGAATTTTCTTCATCACCTTACAACCTTCAGCTCTCTCATAACTTTCAACATCACTGCTTCCATCTAAGCACCTCCACTTCTTCATTATAACGATAACCGCAACTTTATGGACTTCACAATTCTCAAAACTTCTTCATCTGCACCAGTTTTGTTGTATCTGTTTTGTTTTGAATCTCCATCAAAGCTGCGAACAACAATCAAGAATGTAACATCACAAAATTTCAACGACAATAACAACTCAGGGAGAATAGGAAGCAAAGGATAGAAGAAGAAAAGAAGAGTTCTCAAATCGCATCATAAAAAGCCAGAAATTGAAAGTAGAAGAAGAATCAACAACCATCACAACATCTTCATCCTCTCTAGGAATTTCTGCAAACGGCTTGGCATCTTCATCACTCATGGACAACCTACAACATTGTAACAATCGCTTCAGTTCTTGTTGCTGTAACTTCTCTCCATCAATGTAAATCCTCGCAACCGCATCCTTCTGCAAACCTTTGGCAACGCACGATTCTTCGATCTCCATCGTACTACCACCTTCATTGCATCATCAATAATGCATATCAAAAGAAGGAATTGCAGAAGAATAAGTTAAAGGAGGATAAGAATACCTTAGCAGTGGAGGTCGTAGATTGTGTCCTCGCGTTAGAGGTTCAAGAATTTCATTCAGGGATCCATGAGTGTCGTAGATCTAGGGTTCTTGAAACTGCTTCTTCAATCCAACCATTCCATAGACTTTCACCAGAAATCAACGCCAGCTTTAAGGTGAGGAGACAATTTGAGTAAGAGTTGTTGTGCATAAGCTTCCGATTGAGGTGGTTTGATGAGTACTCACTGGCGGAGGGGAGAACGAGAGCGATTGAGGAAGAAAATGAGATGTGCGAGTGATATGGCCTGTGATGGACGCGATTCAATCGGAGAAGAAGATGGACGGAGTCACGCCGTTGTCAGCATTGCAAAGAAGAGGAAGCCGTCTTCGTAAATTCCAAGCGTTTGTTGAAGAATTTGGGTTTGGATTTGTGATATGTGGTTATGAGGGATGAGCGGTAGCCATAGTGGCAGAATCGAAAGGCGGAAGAAGATGAAGTCGCCTCGACCGTTTGAAGAAGATAGAATGAAGGAGATGATGAAGGAGTCGCGCCGCCGGTGAGAGAGTAAGGAAGAGGAATTTGTGAAGATGAAAAATCACAATGCTGAAACCCTAATTCCCCTTTGGACCAGACCATACACCTTGGGCTGGACATTTTTTGGCCGTATTGCTTCACAAAAAATTGCTACTGGGCCTGAGCATTTTTTGGCCATATTGCCTCATACAAAAAATTGCCAAAATTGTCAATTGGGCCTGGAATGTTGGGCCTGCGCCTGGGTTGCTTTAGTATACCTCTGGAAAAAACTCTATACCCCCTAAATACTTTCTATTATTTCTTAAATAATTTTGTGTGATATTTCTACATGGTTTTTTTCCTTAATTGTTCGCATGATAAAAATTCAAAAAAATATTAATAGAACTTTACTTCTTTTATTAACTTTGTTTGCTATTTTATCCATGTTTTTGATAGATTTTAACGCCAATTTTGTGTGAGATTTTGAAATAAAAGAGACTTGAGTGAGGAGTTTCATGAAGTTTCAAAGCTAGCTAAGAGCATAATTTTCATCAAGTAATTCAAGGAGGTTTCTGTAGAGTTTTCTTATCACTTGCGTGGCTTCGAAGAGGCAACGGACCTTCTCCGTTCGGTATCGTCACAAATCTATTTTATTCTTCATTTTGGTACTTTTATCGCAAACCATATGCATACTAACATTAGATAGAATTCCCTCAAAATGCTAACTTTAGGTCTAATACACAATAACATTAGGTTTAGAAATAGGCTAGTCCCCCTTTGACTTTTCTTTCCCTTTTCGCATATGCATCTAAAACAAAAACTTCTTTTTCTTTCAAAATTCAAAACACTTTAAATTTACTGACGAGAATCATATCTTCGTTAAGTATGTGAGACGATAAGCGGGTCTTTTCTTCACCTTATTGTTCTCTTATTCTAAGCTTCGGCATGGTTCAAGTCTCAAAGACTCATTTCATGAATAAGTAGAGACATGGCTAAAATCTCTCTCTTGAGATTAACTAGATATTATCTACACGCAAAAACACCAACCAATACAAACTCTTTTTGCCTTCGGGCCTTCCTTGCAAAATTCTTTTCAGAGAGAACATATTAATTCACTTTTGTGCTGACGCGTAAGTCTCCAAAAGTCGAGTTGCGGCAGAAGGCGAAATTAATATCATTCATTACAAAAACAAACAAGTTCAAATCTTTTTTTTTGTGCGCCCAGGCACATTTTCTCCAAACCTTTTCAGAGAGAGCATATTAATTCACTTATGTGCTGACGCGAAAGTCTCCAAAGGTCGAGTTGCGGCAGAAAGCGAAATTAATACTGTTCAATAAAAAAAATACAAACAAACAAAAACATGTGAGCTGAACTACGGCTTCTCTGATTCCTCAAAAAGGATACGTAGGCATCGGGGTAGGGCCCGAACGAGCACAATCTTATTTTCCCTACATTTTTTCCCCTTTTTTTGCATGCATTCTCCTTTTAGCAGTAATAAACAGTAAGCATAGATTAAACACACCCATAAGATAGACAACAAGAGTGGATACCATAGAGTACTACGGGCGTGTGGGGTGCTAATACATTCCCCTCGCGTAACAGACTACCTTACCCTTATCTCTCGGTCGCAAGACCTTGATTTCATCCTTTTGAGGTTTCCTCGATGTTTACCTTTCCCTTCCTGTGGGATAAAAGACGTTCGATGGCGACTTCATTGTTTTGATGATTTTCAGCCGTTTGTTTCACCTTGGTTATTGTTTCAGCTCAAGCCTCTTTAATGGCGACCGGAATATCCCAAGAAACCAAACCTCAATGAGTGTAGTATCGAGTATCTACCAACTTCGGACTGCACCAATGTCGGTCATCTCACTATATCCTAAAGGCCAAGTTGGTCAAGTAAAGGGTTCTATAAGTTCATTAGTGCTTCATGACATCACTCAGCGGCCCCGTATTCTCTTTGATTAACTCAAAGGCTACTGGTACCCACAAATATATCACACTAACATAGCTATTGCTTAGACCATGTCGGTATACCCCGTACAGTTTCCACAACGTATTGCTATTTACCTATAATGTATCCCAAAATCCGGGTAGAGGATTTCAAACCCAAACAAAGAGCCATAATGTAAAGCATACAAGTCAAACAATGTAAGCAAATAATTGTGATCTAGCCTTAAGTTAACCCCACTTTTATAATTCTCCACAGCAGAGTCTCCAGTTCAGTGATACAGTGGAAGAACTGACTTGAGGGTTTTGTGTTTTATCGCAAATGTTGCGGTTAGCAAGAGTCGCCACCGACTTTTCTTTTATCCAAAAGGAAAGGTGAAAAAGCACAGGAAAGACCTTTGAGATTGTTTCTTGAGTTCGGGGGGTAGATTATGAAAAGGGAAGGTATTAGCACCCTTTTCATCCATGGTTATCCATGGGCTCTTAGTTACTTGATAGATCACTTGCTTTTTTTGTTTTGAAATTGTGCTTTGTATGGTTTTTAAAGTATTTTGTAAAAGAGGCCATTGTTTAGGCAATATTTGTAATGATCCTCGTTCGTAAGAATGTATACAAAGATGTTTGTCTTTTTGAAAATGTTTTCATTATTTGTAAGATGTTTTTGAAGTGTGTGTGTTTGTTTTGGAAAATAGAAAGGATGGTTGTTTTGAAAGGGAGCAAGTAACTAGAGGTAATCTACCTACTCAAATGTCTTTCTTGTTCATCTTCTTTTCCTTTGATATTGTTGTCTTACCATTGATTTGGTAAGTGTAATACGGTGGGAGAACTGACTTGAGGTTTTTCGTTTTGTCGCAAATGTCGCGGTTAGCAAGAGTCGCCACCGACTTTTATTTTATCTAAAAGGAAAGGTAAAAAAAGTACAGGAAAGACCTTTGAGATGTTTTCTTGAGTTCGGGGGGTAGATTATGAAAAGGGAAGGTGCTAGCACCCTTTTCATCCATGGTTTTCCATGGGCTCTTAGTTACTTTCTTAGATCACTTGCTTTGTTTTGTTTGAAATGGTGTTTGGTGTGATTTTGAAAGTATTTTGTAAAAGAGGCCATTGTTTAGGCAATCTTTGTAATGATTCTCGTTCGTAAGAATGTATACAAAGATGTTTGTCTTTTGAAAATGTTTTCAATGTTTTGTAAGATGTTTTGAAATGTTTGTGTGTTTGTTTTTGAAAATAGCAAGGATTGTTGTTTGAAATGGAGCAAGTAACTTAGAAGCTATCTACCTACTCAAATGTCTTTCTTGTGCATTTTTATTCCTTTGACATTGTTGACTTACCATTGATTTGGTAAGCAACCCTATCTTTGGATGTAAACGGGACGGGCGTGGGTCATCGTATAACCATGATAGAAATGTTGCCAAGTATCTTAGCATTTTTTAGGGACCAAGATCATTTTATTTAGGCAACCTTTGAATAGCGTCATCGGGGGACTATGATCTTATACTTATTTTGTTTTGCCAAGATACTTCGCATGTGTAACATGGCCATTTTACTTTAGGCAACCAAGTGGGAGAAACCCTAAGGGTGCTTGTGTGCAAAGTGTATCATTTTCATGCTTTTGTCTTGTATTTAGGGTTTTCTATTTTGCTTTGTTTTTGTTCTTTTCATACAAACCCTAATTACTAATCATGGTATAAAAGTGATAAATTGCGTAAATGTAAATATACTAAGTTATTACAACAATTATTATGGGAGGGGGGATACAAGTTTGAATGGGGATTTTGCACAAATATAAAACTAAATATATTATTACAACCAAATCGAATATGCGCGAATTTAAATAAATATAGTACAAATATTTAAAATGCAATGCAATATGTTTATGTAAAGAAAAATATTTTATGTCTTGTTTTTGTATGAGAAAATAATTTAATTTAAACCCTAAAAAATAAGGAAAAATAAATAATTCTTTTTGAAAGGGATGAAACCCTAATTTTTATTCAAAGAAAACAATGTTTCATATTATTATTTTGTACATTTTTT